GCCAAAACTCTCTCTTCAAAAATGTCCTCTGTACTTTCTCAACAAACGAGAGAATGAGACCTCCACTGCCTTTCATTGTGTCATTTCTTTATTCCTCATCAGGCCTCCTCACAAGGCCAGAGTAACTTATAAGACTTCACAGAAAGACTGGTGCTTCTAGAAAGAATTGCAAGGTAGAAGGGAAATTTTTAAAAAGAAAACTATGTACTGAATACATCTCTTCTATAGCCTAAGCAAACACTTAAGAATGTAAACCTTCACTATGTGTCACCTTATGCTTCTCCCCATTTCCTGACTAAACACAAAGAGGAGCTCTTCTTTATCTTATCATTTGTTTTATTATCAACAGTTATTTATTGGGCTCTATGTTAGTTAGTGTGCCACATTGTAGAATAAAAGTATGAACTCTTTTTCCATTTGAGAAAACTTACATCCTACTCATAGAAATCAGAAGGCCCCCAGGACATGTTTCCATATCATAACAGTAAATTTAACAAATATAGTTATCTTGTCTAAAGACTACCTGGTCTAAAGGCTTTTAAACTTTATCTCTAGTAGGCTGTCCTTGGTGGTTTTTAATATGCCAAGGCTTCAAGAACAGGGTTCCAGAGTAGCCTTTGGTGTTATGGTTTTCTGAACACCTAAAGAGAACTCTTGGAACTCACACATACATGCACACACACCTCCCCCCGTCCAAGGAACAAACATTAATTCTCAGAAAGATGCAGCTCTATGAGCCAGGGAAGCATATTTCTAATTGTTCCTTCCTTCTCTTATTTGCAAGTTGTTTCTTTCATAATGGAGATTGAACTTCATTGTTATTTTGAGGGAAGAAAATGTTCAATAGTTGAGATACAACATTTCTCATGACACTAAGCTAAAAAATATATACAACCAAATCTCTCAAATTTTCAAGTGAAAAATCCTTTCACATTTTTAGACAAGGACTATTCTGAAGACTCAGATTTGAGGATGACTATCTGTATGAGTGGAGGTGGTGGTGGACTTTCTCAGGTACGTGCGTGTGGTAAAGAGCACTTATCTCTACTGGATATGGTATAGAGTGGGAAAATTTTAGGAAGGAAATATGTGAGGAGGTGGAAAGGCAAGGTTGAGGCAGGCAACTGCATTTTTTTTTTCTGTGGGGAAAAAAGTTCTTATTTTAAGATTAAATTACATGAGACTTGGGTACAATAAGTGTAATAAGCTTCACTTGGAAAAATCAGTTAGGCTTTCTTCCCTCCCCATTGCACAACCCCAGGCACACCATTCACATAGTGTTTTACCTGAAGAGCCTGCCTTGGAGCCCAGTGCTATTTACATGGATTACAATGTGAATGATGTCCCCTGAAGTTGTGTACACAGCTGGTAGTGGCAGGCGCCTTTGGAAAAGCAATGATTGTAATTCTCATGTAAATTATTTGTAATTTCATTTTCTTTGGAGAGTCGTCCAAAATCAACCTTCTCCTTCAGCTGATGCTAAATCAGAAGTCTTTTCTCAAAGTTTTCATGGTGCTCATCACACTATCAAAAGTTGGTTGGTCTACTTGTCATATTATGTCTGAACTCTGAATCTCTGATGCCTGTGCCTATAGTTTCAAGCACAGTGTCTGGTACAAAGGAAGTGTTCAGAAAATGGCTCTGAATTCAAAGTAAATTATTCTCCATGAGATATAACCAATTGCCTTGCAATTTTTTCTTTCTAATTTTAATTTGTTGTCATTTTAGTTCACAGAGAATGCACTGTGCTCCTATTTATTAAATTAAATATCTGCTTGAAGTAGCATATTAAAAATTAAGCTTAGTTAAATCTCAATTTCCTGTGATCATTAAATAAGTTGCTCATTGCTGCATCTCATATTAGCTTGGTTCAACGGTTAGATAGCAATTAACATGAATGCTTAATGACCACTTTCCTATTCTGATATAATACTAATGATACTTGCAGTTTAAAGTGCTTCAGGGTTAATTATAAATGCTCATAATTTGCCTACCCTTCTGACTGACAGTACATTCTTACGCCTAGGAATATGATGAGTACTTTAGGCCTGGGTAGGAAGGATGCAGAGGCTCTGCAATCAATGCCATTAACTCTTCAGTGATCTCAAATCATCTAAACTATTTCAAGACTCTCTGTTATCAACAGTGCAAAGGAAGATTTCTTTGAAGTGTGACCTCAACTCTTAGTGTTTTGTGATAACAGAAAAAAAGACATTGTCTTGAGCAAGCAACTATCACAGTCTCACCCTCAAGAATTTATGGGATGATGTAGTGGATTTCACATTTTTTTCCCCCACCTCTCTCCCTTTCAATTTTCCTACACCAATGCTAATTCTTTTGAGGCCATTTAAACATTGGTTTCTTCCTGATAATTCTTTGATTCTAAAGTAGCTGGTAAATTCAGTGGGTGAATATTATACAGAGTAAGTCATTAGACAAAATTTATCTCTTACAATATGATGTGAATGTCCAAGTGTAGTGTTGTAACTAACCATCATAGGCCGTTTCTATATTCTCATATATTCTTCATTCATATAACGAAAAGCTGAAGTGAAGCTTGTAGTTAGATTCCTCTTGTCATTTCACACTTTCTTTGTAAATATTCCCATGAATATGTCCAAGTTCAATTGTAAGCTTTCCAAACTGCCAGGCCATAGCCTTGTATCATGTTTCTTTTCTGTTTTCCTACAACAGAGAATAGTATTACAGTATCCATGGTAAACATTCTGTGATTTTTATGAACACATTGTTTAGGTTAGAAAAAAGGTTTATATTTATCTTATTGAATTATTTAGCCTACCTAATCATTCTAGAATTAAGGTAATAACTATTACATGCAAAATAAACCTAGAATGCTGTTGACATTTTATTATACTACTTCAGCAATTATAATCAAGAGTTTAATAGTTCTGTCATGATGACATGTTGATAGCAATTCATCAAAATAGTTCAAAAGGATGATCTGCACAAGCCAACTTTAGAGATGACATCTAAGATCAAGACGAGCTGGAAGTCACTGTGGAGTTTAACAAATACGTTTACAAATCTAAAATTTAGAGAGTCAGAAAAATTTTAGTTATTCTTGAATTTGGAAATTGTCTAGAATAGTGCAATGAATTTAATTCAAATTAAAAATGAAAGTAATCCTCCCCTTATGACTCTTCCATGCCTCCTTCAGTACCTACAATAAACTAGGGGCTCAATAAACACTTATGGATTAACATGGACTGAACTAGGAGGAACATGGCTATGACCGCCACCGTCATCACAAAACCATGCTGCAAGTGAAATGAAATTGTTTTATTTAATCTCCAAAACTGATGGGGAATAAGAAGTTGGCAGGCTTCAAAAACATATCTAAGAATGGGTACTGATGGTATCATTTTGTGGGCCACTTTATTATGCTTTTTATTCATGCACGAATTCAACAATTTATTATAAGTATGGAAGTGATATTTAATTATAAAGTTAAAATTTTCAAAGATTAAATGGCAAATGACTTACAAGTATAATATTTGTTAATACTTGATTACACTGTTTTGGTCATTATGTATCATATCATCACCCTCCTTGCCTTTGAAGAAAGGTACTAATTTTCATCTACTCTTAAGAAATGTAATTTAAAACTGATGAGTAACCAAGATACTGTGTCAGGGAATGCAGAAAATATTTACTTTCTGTGGAGGGCTAGTTAGTTGGATATGCAGATTTTGTATAACATAGATAAGAATTTTCAATAAAATCTCAAGCAATGTGTTTGAAAGGACAAGCATTAATAATCTGTTGCTCATTCAAACCATTGTTTTTAAGCTCCTTCGCCCGTACCTCAAATGAATGATTTACTCAGATCACCAGTCTTATTAAGAAATCCATTCCATTGAATATTTAGACTTAATTTTTATTAAAGTTTTTTATAACTTCCCTATTTACATTGTTCAGATCCATTTAACTTGAGTATTTTGTCATTTAGAGTAATAACTCATCAATCTGTTAGTGCAACCTTTCTTTATGTTACTTTTCTTAGTGCTATGAAATGTGCTATTATGAATCCCTGAAATGTTATAAACCACCAGATTGCTAATTGCTTTCGATGCTGTGAAAAATAATTACTCCACATTATTTTTGATATTTAATTGACAGTGTAATGCATTTAACTAAAGACCTGCAATAAACTATTTCTAATTACTGAGGTTGGTGGAGTGGAAAAATAGGCTGTAAAACTTTACAAGGGAAAGAATGTTTTCTCCATTATGCTAAGAGTCATTGTTGATATACGTTTTCAAAGACAAAAAAAAATTTTCCCAAATGGGAAGTTTTGGAAAGCTAGAAAAGGTTGTGGAATATTTGTACTCATGAGATAGTACTGAGATTTTTAAAACTATTATTTTTTGAAAGATTATGCTAGTGATTGATGTCATATACTAAGTTTACCATGTTTGTAACTAAAGTTTATTTTCTTTAGTTGGAAGAACTTTTCAGGTAGATAATTGTGCCATTGCTAGAATGAGTAATCTTTGTCATTGGCCTGTGTTCAATTTATTGTGCATTTGTAGGTCATTCAGCTAAAAATCTGTGCCAAATCTTAAATGTCATTGAAATAGGGAGCTATCGCAGGAACTTGGTCTGTTCTTGGCTCCCAAGTTAAGAACTTCATGTTATAAACTGATTCCTGAAGATAGCACTTAGAACCTGATGCAAGGAATTTCCACAGTCTAGAAGGGTCATAAATTGGGATAATCGCATTAAGCTCTTTGAATAGATGTGTACTGTTTTCATTCCCCTGTGGCTCTGGGATATTATTAATAATTGGCATATTCTTTTCTTCCCCATAACCTCTGGTTAAAATAAAATGTCTCCACTGATATTTCATTAAATTGCTTATTTAATTTAAATTATGTACATTTTCCAAAAATAGACAACTAAAATAAGTGACCTGTTTCAGGGAATGTAAATTATTTTCAGAATTTCAGAAATTGAAAAGGGATAAGAGGAAGGAGAAAATGCTGGGCTGGTGTGAAGCGATAGCCCGTAACCCTCACAGAATTCCAAACAACACCCGAACACCTGAGATCTCAGGGGATTTGGCTGATGCCTCACAAACCTCCACATTGGTGAGTGAAAAGATATTTTTACCTCAAAATAGCTCTTATGTAAATGGATACTAAGGTAATGGGGAGAGGGGTGACTTTCTAAGTACACTGTTATTCTTGTTTATAAGAGTACTTGCATTTGTATTATATTGCTCATATAGATTTTTTATTTAATGAATATTAACAGAAATATCAATGCCATATAATAATTACATTTAATTCAGATTAAATATTTTCTTTTTCTTTCTATTTTTTTACCCTTCCGTTATATTATAGATGTTTAAGAGATATTTAGTACATATCTTGTATTCTATACTTGTGTAATGGAATCAATGGAGCAAAACAAGTAGAGTTACCCAAAAACAATGAAAAATCAGAATCACATATTTTAATATATATTACAAGATGTCTGAAAAAGGCATTCAAAATTATAACTTCTTTATAAAATTATGAATCAAATAATTGCATAAATGATATGAAAACAATTTAGTATTATACTCCTTTATGTTTAGTTTTCTTCTTTAAGTTCAAATGCTAAGCCTCAGCTAGTCATTATTCTGCAGCAATTAGGAAAAGAAAACTCATTAGCCAAAGGAGTTTTACATGTTCTTTGTTTAGATTTTTGCTGCAAAATTCTTCATTTTGATTTAAAGAAGGATTTAGTCTAAGTTTTATTTCAACATATTATAAAAGTTTTAGTTATTGTTTTACCCTGTTGTAAAAATAAGTGTTTTCATTAGCCTAATTTATTAGCCGATGAATATATAATTAAATATGAGCAAAGATTTTAGGTTTGTTTTTAACTTTTGAGTCATTTGATAATTTCTGCTATTTTACATAGAAATAATGATCTTGTGCAAACATTGAGTGGATATAAGAGAAACCATCTCAAGGAATAGGCTTCAGTTGACAAAATATAGGTGTAAGAGTGTAGCTCAAATTTCATCACCTTAGATTGTGGGGAAGGAGCTGAGGGTGTGGAGAAATGTGGGCAAAGCAATTGAATGGTCGAAGTTCTAGGGAGTGGATTCTTTGAAATTGTCATCTGCACTGTTTCATCTCATTCTTTTTGTAAATTATTACTTTCAGTAAAACTGCTTGGATTATGTTAACACCATTGAAACACATTACACATTATTTCATAAAGCTGGACTTTGTCAGGTATCATGCAGTAGCTAGAAATTAAAAAAAAAAGACTTCTGTGTTTTCATTAAAGTGGCTTTAGTGCTTAATTCCTATTTCATGGCATCAGAGACCAAAACCATAAAAAACCTTGAGCAAACATTTGGCCTGGCTTTCTCTTGTAATTGAGTAACCTAATATTAGCTTCATTTTACAGATGTGTAAAAACTGTAGCCCAAAGAAATTAATTGACTTCACAAGTGTCACTTAGCAAGTAAATGATAAAAGGATTACTCAAGGCTAGGTCGGCTTCTCAAGCCAAGGCTTTTTCTACCACACTGCACTCACTTTCTTGATGACATTTTCTTCCCATTCAAACACTTTTAGTAGAAAAAAAAAAAGACATCATGGTCCCAAATTAATTAAATCTAGTAATGAATCTTAAAATCTAATGCTTTATTGGGGGATAAACTTCAGCCACTGTAACATAACCTCAAAAACTCAGTTTCTTAACATAGAAAAATCAAGTATTTCTTTCTTATGTCATAGCCCATGTGCTCTCCTTGATGTTTCACAGTCAAATGATGACTCAAAAATACAGAATCTTTTCATCTTTTGATGCTGTTTTCTTATGCACATGGCCTCTTGCCTCACTGAGGACAAGCTAGGGACTACATGGGCCATTGTACATGGGCTGGTATGGAGCAGCCTTGGACGTGTGGACATCCTTCCATTGGACAGATACCATTACCTTTGGTAATCAGTAATGGTATGGCCATATCCATGTCCAATTTCCATTATCATTACCATCCTTCCATCTGAACAGTAAGAGAGGCTGGTTAATGTTAGGCAACTATATGACCAGGGAAAGCAGATGGAATTAGTGAGCAATTAGTCCATTTCCTGCACAGCCCACCTTCCTAGATGCCAAATATTCTTGTCATGTTTCTACTCTCTCATGATAAAGGATTATTACATTCCAATAGAGATCACTAAACATTCTTTCGGCCACTGGATTCAACTCAAGTCTATGATGGTGAATCACCTAATAAACTACCTGTATTTTGAAATTGGCTCCCATCACACATTTATACCCAATATACTACTGATAGGGAGTAGGAAGAGGGAAACCACAATAAACACTCATGCCTGGGAAGAGAAAGAATCAGATACATGTGGAATCAGAGGTGAAATCCTACTAGACAGGAATTATAAAGTCTCCCTGAACGAGAGGTCAAGGAGGATCCCTGCACAGGCTTGGTGCATCTCCCTTGTACATGGGTCTCCCTAGCCTCTGGTTATGGCCCCTGGGACGCTTTTCCTTTTCCATTATTCTGCTTCGCATGTGAAGTGAGTAGTGAAGATTGTATAGCCTTTAATATTCTTTCCTGTTTGGGTGAAATTATGGGACCAAGTGTTGTCTTAAGTCTTAAATATTTCAAGAGTCATATTTCTGAGATCGTAGCATTTTACTACTACAGACCTCTGAAATATTCATAGCGTTATGATCTATGTGCCTCCTGATAGTCATATGCCCGGATGAATTCTTTCTTGGATGCCCTGACTTTCTCTTCTCCCATGTTTCCCTCTCAAGATGAACATTATCTTGAATAATAGGGCAGGAGGACCACATACTTTTTTAAAAAAAATTTAACCTTTATTGTCTTTTTTCCATTACAATTCAGACCTCTTATGCCCCCCTCCCCCCAGCAATCACCACACTGGTGTCCATGTCCATGAGTCCTTTTTCCTTTTTGCACAATCCCTCCACCCCCTACTTAACCTGTTTACCAGAGATACATTGTTCAAATCAGAAGTTTTACTTCAGATCTAATTATCACATTTGTCTTGAGTCCCTTCATTCAAATATAAATTTTTGTTGGATCTTTGTTACTCAATACTTATATCAATGTCATGCACCACCATTTGGGGTTTAGAAAAAGCCAGATATTTTGTCCAATAAGCTCTGAAATGTTTGAATCCTGTCTATTCCCAGTTAGATCTATTGTACTTTCACTAGCTGATTCATTTCTGAGCTCATGTTTCTTTTATAACACCTTGCTCAGTGTAGCCAGCAATAGTCAACATGCATTATTAAGTTTTGTTTTTGATCTATTTTGACTTTTGCCAGCCCAGCAGTCCCACTGTCTGCTACTCAAGCTCACTGAAACAGCAGCTTTACTACGAGTTTTGCCGAAACATCAAGCAGATAGGGTTTTCTCCCAATGAAACTGGTTTCCTTGCCACCCACTGCCCAACCATTAAGTGAATGCCACATAGCTTAGATTTCGTTATGATAGTACCAGCCTTCCCCCCCCCCCCCACTACCAATATCTGAATTTGAATAGTTACAAAAGTTAAGTTACCATCAGGAAAACAGAAATCTGTAATTTTAACAGAGAATATAATTCGGAAAATTATTTAACTTGCTGTTGGAAGACTGAAAAAGTCAAGAAGGTATACACAAGTTTGGTAACAGAAAGATGTAACAACCACCATACAGAGGAGTAGCACAGAGAGGAGGCTGGAGTTACTGGAACCTAAAAGGCTGAGGAGGGGCCCCTCAGAACTGCACTTCAGACTCGGGAGGGATGCTTCCCGGCTGCTGCAGGAAACACTGTGGTTCAGAAGAGGGACTCTGAGGATTGAGGACCCAGACTCTCGAAGGGGACGCACTTCTCAATCTTTATATATTCTTGTGGGAGTTGCAATAGAGATAGTTCAAGGAGCGTGAAAAACAGACTTAGGAACTGGACCCAGCTTTCACTGCTGACTTAGAGAAACCTCACTGGGATGGCACTAAGAGAAACTGAGGGCGAACATGAAGCAAGTCCTTTCTCTCATCTCCTGTGTTCTGGTTCCTTTAGCACTAGCATTGGCACAACCTGCCCAAGAGGAAAATGGCAAAGGAGAAATTTGGTTGGAAGTTTCCAGCTCTAGCATCTTAAAACAGAATTTGGAAGAATGGATTCATACATTTCAACAGCTTAATATGATAAAGGTTTGCTTTTGCTCATGACTGTCCAGCTATGAATTCAGGGATCCTTGTTTCTCCCATCTCGTGGGGCCACTATCTTGAACACAGGGCCCCTAAGTTTATCAGATAATGTTAAAAACCAAAAGAAAGCAACTTATACTGACCTTACTGTTAAGCAATTTCCTGAATCAATTCAGAGTTTTGATATTAAACTTAAAATGAAAGCAGGGGAGATCGTAAGAATCAGAATTAGGAAGGTGAAAGATTTTCTGAGGAAAAAAAGTTATGGAAGTCAAAATAGGAAGATCAAAAAATGTCGTAGAAGGTAGTCAGCAACAACTCCAGAGAAAAGTACTTTCTAATAATCAATAGCAATTCTTTGAGGCCATAAATAGAGTCCAGTTGTGCCCCTAAGTGTTTGATCAGGTGATTTGCCACTTCAAAACATGTGTTTACATTTTCCATCCTTCTGTACATGGTCTGGGTTGAGCTGCTTACTGCTTTACAAAAGACTAGAGAGAAGAGACTAGATAAAAAAAGCTTTCAAGGAAAAGTATGTAATACATATGAATAAAACTCAGATGAAAAATGATTTGTAGTAAGATATAGGTGTATAAAGTTTTATAATTTTCAAAGCAATCTTTATGTTCATTGTTTTGTTATAGCTCTCAACCATGCTGAGATGTATACAATACAAATTTAACTATTCAAATGATAATGAAAAGAGTTGTTAAGAATTTAGGTAATTCACTCCAAAGTATAAGGACCCAGGTCTCCTAATTTCTACGTTTACACCCATATGAGAAGTGATACTTCCCATGTTGTTTGCATCTACAACTGAAGATACTGTGTCAAAAGTTAAATAACTCTCCTGAGTAACAAGTAAATTGGTGAATTGGTGAGCCTGATTTCTGTCTGATTT